ATGACCCTCTGCACGTGGTTAGCCACGTCCACGGCGCTCCTCCTGCCGGCGCCGCACGTCTCCTCCGGCCGCAGCGGCGGCAGGAACGTGACGTCGTACCCGCCGCGGGTTCATGTAGAAGAAGTACGGGTCCAGCCACTTCCACCCCCTCGCCGTCGACCCGTAGTAGGTCCCCTGCCGCGCCTCCATCGCCACGGGCACGATCCGGTCCGTGAGCTCCGCGAACAGCGCAGAGAACCGCAGCAGGCAGGGCTCCCCGGCACGGTCCCCTCGGGGCACACCACGACGTCGCCCTCCGCCAGCAGCGCCGCCATGCGCGCCGCGTCGGTGGCCCTGTCCCGCGACAGCGCCACGGCCCGGATCGGCGAGATCGCCGTCGAGAGGCGGCTCGCGCTGTACGTAACGCACGCCACAGGCCGACCCAGCGCCACGGACAGGATGATTGGGTCCAGCGCCGTGCGGTGGTTGCACACCAGCAGCGACCCTGGCGCGCCCGGCGCCGGGGGCGGCGGCGGCGTCCTGCGGACGCGGAGCCGGATCCCCGTCAGGCGGCATGTGTGGCGGACCAGGCGTAGCGGCATCATGAGGTTGAAGAAGACGCGGAACAGCGCCAGCAGGAAGCCCACCGGGAGGTAGGCCAGCGCGAACAGCGCCTGCGCCAGGTCCGGCGCTGGACGAGGCGGCCGTCGTGGAAGACAGCGGGACAGCAGAGTGTCGGCGGCATGCACGCGGCGCGCGCTTGTCCGGAGGCACCATGTAAGCTTCCTGCACACCATATGTACAGGGCGGATTATTTACAGCAATCAGTCAATTAGTATCTTTTTTTTGTTTTTTTAGGAAGCAGTCAAATAAGGTCTAAAATTACCAGACTAATCATGTGCCATAAATTATCATTTACTACTATACATTTAGTCAAATAAGGTTAGCTTATTCTAAAATTAGAACTGTATCTTTTTTGACCGGAGGTGTACTATATCTCAAAATCATCTTCTTCATATCTTTTTTTCCTAGACTGCTGTAGAAACTTTATTAGTAGAAAGGTTTGCAGCCACACAAACAAAAGATGTGACAGCTGGTGCTACAAGAACAAGTATGGCATTTGTTTGGCTTGATAAGGCAGAGAAGAACAAATCCTAGTGCTTGCTTGCTTACTAAGCCCAAAGTCATAATTTAATCATCAAGCAACAAAATTTAATTTTAATCCACCTGATTGCATCGAAAAGCTTCTCAAATTTTTGTAATAATAAGCAACCAAAAAGCCTGGATAGTTGAAGGCAATTCATTCCTCCCGTACCTTGCAGATGGCCATGAAGTCGTGGTCGCTCTCGCGGTCCCCGAGCCCGACGTCGGGCATCTCCCCACCGGCGAAGAGCCTCCGCACGACCTCCGCCTTCCTCTCCCCGACGAGCACGGCCTTGATCCTCCCCGTGAACCTGGTGCTCCCCAACGCGCAGAAGGTCTCGAGCTCGGTCCCGGCGACCTCGGCGCCGAGGAACTCGCGGACGAAGTCCCCCACCATGACGGCGGGGGACGCGGTGACGACGACCCTCCGCCCCTCGCCGCAGCCGCGGAACACGGCCCAGGTGTCGGCGCGCACGCCGGCCGCGTAGTGCCGCGGCAGGACGCCCCGGGCGACGGCCTCGACGTCGCGCACGCGGAGCCCCGCGAACGCGACGAACGCCAGCAGCGCGATGGCCGCCGCCTCGGAGACCAGCGTGTAGAGCGCCAGCAGGAGCGGCGCGACGAGGAGGAGCGCCAGCGCGCGGACGCAGGAGCCGGCCTCGAGTGCTACGAGGAAGTAGTAGGGGAACGCGGAGGAGGATGCTAGCAGCGTGCCGTCCAGGTCCGCGGCGGCGGTACGGCGGACCCGCGCCGACGCGTCGTAGGACGACACCGGAGGGAACCTCGCGCTCGTGACGGGGCGCGCGGGGGCCATGGCGCGGTCCGGTTCGTGGCGCCCCGTGGCGAGGTTGAGGAGGAAGACGATGGCGTGTGGTGTGGTGTGGGCCGGAAAAGGTTGGGACTTGGCAGGCGACTATATATGGTTGGTGTCGCGGCGGCGGCGGTGGCTGCGTTTGTTGAGCGGCCCAACGCTGCGGTGGACGGAGGGATTTATATGTAGGACGGGGCAGGCAGCAGAGGCGGTGATCGGAGTCGGAGCAGAGAAGGGAGGAGGAATCCGAGCAGGCGTGGAGTTGGGTGGGGGATCGGATTCCGAGTCGAGCTCGCGCACATGAGGCAGGCGTTGGTGCCTGGATTGGGGAACGAACGTGAAAGGCGCGTGAAGAACAGACAGTAGTGACAGACAGAGAGACAGACTGGCGAGATGACAGAGAAGAAGAGAAACAGATGGATGGAGAACAAATTACAAATTAGGCGTCGTATCTGTGGTCAGACTTGACACTCTGCAGGGCAATCCGGGCTGTTTCTTCTTTTATTTTTTGCCGTTGACCGAGCCGACGTGGATTTCATTCACGGGGATTACTGTAGATTACAGTACAGTACGCTCCATTGAATGTTGCGCTCCCGTAAACATGTGCCCTAATGACAAATTAATTATGCTTAATAAATTCGCTTTGAGTAGTGACGGATTCTATAATTTATTTTTTTTATTAATATCCATCCCTCTAAGCGACACCACACCTCCTACCTTTTCAAACACCCTGATACGGTGGGTGACCTTCGCTTGGATCGATGGCGATGGATCATCTCTAGACGTCAGTGTCTTTCGCAAGAGCAGCAGGCGGCTGATCACCAACATTTCTCTAACTCCAGCTTTCCTTCCTTCCTCCACCGTAATAGTTCATAGATATCATCTATAAGTCCCACGTATAAAGTGTTCTTTATTCATGTGTTATCTCCCCTACCAAGTAAGATAGAGGAGTTGCATTTATCATGTATCCGGATACATAAATAACTTAAAAGCATGGAGCAACTTATCAATAAAGTGTTCTTCTATTTTATGCTCTCTTTTAGCTCCTTCGCCTCCTACCCCTTGTGGTCGCGGAGTAGGAGTCCGCGTCTGCAGCTGGAGCCGCCAGCGCGCATGGAGGGAGGCAGCCCTCGGCTTCCATCTAGGCGGTGCGATGGCCCACAAATCTCAACGACACGTGCGGTGCTATACTCGGCGCAACTCCATGACGGTCATAGGGGCGTGGAGGATGTGATGGCCGGTACCGATCACCGTGGCTACGGAAACGGTGGCAAACTCATTTGGAGGTGGGAGACAGACTATCGGGGAGATACAACTCTCCCTTTATTTTTTAAGGAGACGAAGAAAATATTAATGGACACGGAAAAAAAAAGTAAAGAGTTATTGAGGGGTTTGGACATTTGGGCCCTGTTTAGTTCCCTAGATTTTCTGAATTTGACACTATGCAAAAAGAAGATTCCCCGTCACATCAAACTTGTGGTACATGCATGGAGTACTAAATGTTAACGAAATCAAAAACTAATTGCACAGTTTGGTTGTACTTTGCGAGACGAACGTTTTGAGCCTAATTAGTCACCGATTAGACAATTATTACCAAATAAAAACAAAATGATACAGTGTAGCTACAGTAACGCCGAATCCGGCGGCGCCGAATCCGGCCTCCAACTAAACGTGGCCTTGGTGGAGTAGAAAAACAATCACGTCTTTCCCAATACAATAGTTTTATGATTGAGTGTTGCTGGAGTTGTCTTCCCGCTGGTACAAATATATATATTTTTTAATCCCTCCTTCAAATGGTCACTACGCCTACAACTAGCCATTGGTGATAGCATGGAAAAATAAAATGATGAAAGGAAGCATCACATCACTGTGGGGCCCTGCATGAAACCTGCCTGCCTACCGTCACCAACCAGTTACCATAGCAGATTCCGACAAAAGAGGCTGCCGCCAGTTTCCTTCCCTTCCCGTTGGTTGTGGACGAGCTCACGAATCATGATCATGAGTCCATGACATGACATGCTAAACAGGCTGGCAGGTCCAGGTCCGGGCTCATCTCGTTCCCAGCCGGAGACGTGGTTCCTGTGTGGATGCACGAGAACACATATGCATACACCCCAGTTCCTGTAACTATGGTACACACGTGGACAATTGAGCTGAAACAGGTTCATATGAATCATACATATAAACTGTAGATGCCACTCCGACACAAAGATCAGAGTGGCGCAGCGGAAGCGTGGTGGGCCCATAACCCACAGGTCCCAGGATCGAAACCTGGCTCTGATATGTTTTTGTTATTTTGCCTCCGATTTTGGTTTTTTATTTATTTTTCCTCTATACGATTTGATTCTCCGATTCGGCTTTCCTCCCCTCCGATTTCAATTTGGGTTTCCCTGTACGATTTGATTTTTCTTTTGCTTTATTACACACACCACACATCTCAATCGATATGCTCTTGCAGTCTCATCACACCTCATAATCGTAACCTTAACGAACGAACGATATCACCTGCGTATACAAATCATAAGCTACTCTGCGATCGACATCGAAACCTAGTCACAATTTCAACATTACACCAATAGCAAAACGAAACTCTCATGTGCCAAGAAAGATAAAGCGCATGCGCATGACTGTCAATGCACATCGCCGCCCACCTCTGCAGAAGTTGGAACACTGAACCAAGATCGATCTCAAATAGAGAAATACTATACCAGAACAAGCATCACATTCGCAGGTATCAATCCCATCGGCTATGTTCAGATATCCATCAGGTACGTACAGTACTCAACAAACAGGCTCAAATATTTTTCTTACAGCCAGCAGTCCAAAAAGAGCGCAAATAACAAGAGAACCAAAACAAATCCTAACTAGTTGTTGGCTGTATATGGAGTCCAGCCTTATTGAATTCACATCACAGTATATATGTGCATGAATCATCCCCACTAGCCAAATGTTCGGCCAACGAGGATAGTCAGTTACAACATACACTCGGCATCAAGCTTAGATGCACACCTTCAGATGGTGATCACCGTGCACCTCTCCGGCGTCAAGTCCTCCTCAACCAATGGGCCTACAGAAGTGGTAACCAGGAACCCATCTACTCTCGCCGCTGTGTCCACATCAACTGTGACTATACTCAGCCCTCTTCCAATCACATGAATCTTCCTGCCAATGGCCACAAGCGCGCAAGGGGGTCTTGTGACTTTGTCGGAGAGCTCACCGAAGCGTGGCCCACCCTTGGTGTCCTTCTGCCACCTCATCAGCTTCGTGCCCATCGACTGCTCCAGCATGTACAGTGTTCCATCCACCACAACTGTCGGGCTGGAGCAGCAGAGAGCGCATTTCGTTTTTCGTGCCTCTCCAGGTGCGGTCCAGCGGGTCGATATATGCCGTGAAGTACATTCTGTTCCACGCTGCCCGGTGAATGGTCACCAGCCTCGCCCAATGCCAATGAATTTTACTATGTCAGGGGTGAGCATTGGGTTCTTGTGGGCGCTCACGAGTCTGTGGCGGGTCATAGATGTCCCATGAATTTGGTGACTTGTCTGTCAAACCATATCCACCAGTTATGTACAGTTTCTCATTGCTTACGCAGACACAAAATAGCACCTGAAAGTGAAGCAACAAAGCATAAGGAATTGGTTCCCAATTTGCAAAAGATGCTATATATGGTGTTGCTTAAGGAAGAACATGACATACTATATATAGGTACTGTTATAGGGAAAACATGAGATGCTATATATAGGCACAGATAAGGGAATACACATGGCATGGTATTTATAATTATATAGGTATGGCTTGAGGGTGAATAAAATATGAGAATGGACTTTAACGATTAAGTACCTTGCAGTAGGCATTGGAGCTGCTGCGCTCCAGCGATTTGATGAGGCGTCATAACAATATACTTCATCCGTAGCATCATGTACGTAACTGCAACCACCCAGAAGAAATAGCCTTTTGTCTAAGGCTTCAATGGTAACACCTTTCCTCCCTGAGCATGGGGGTTCAATGATATGCATGATTCTAAAGCACCGACTTGAAGGGTCTGGAGCCAACACATAGCATTTGATGCCTGCCTCCCTACAGATTACGTGAGACCCATGACTCGTCCAAGTTATTCCTCTTGCGGCATTAAGTGCCATTCTTCACTGCATAACAGTGATCTCCACCTCTTTGAGACACGCCTGAGAACATTATGATACCGCCTAGGAACTCTTGCCAAGCAAATGAGAGCGATCTCATCAGGAAGTCCATGTGTATAAGAGGGTATGACCAGGAGCTGATTCCATGCCTCTATCGAACAGCTTTCCAAAATGCACTACTTTTGTGACGGTTGATCATCCTGACAAAAGGATTAAGTGTTAAGAAATATGCAGTGCTAGCATAAAAGGTAAATTGAAAACAAAATTCCAATAAGATGACTTCAGCACGAAAGGCCACCATCACATCATTGCAGTAAAACATAGCTGAGAGAAAACCACTTCCAAATATAGTTGACAGCACAAGTTAGAATGTGTAATAACAAGAACATAGAGCTGGGAGCAATTTCTCATCAATAAGAAAGTTCAGTTTAAGCAGTAAAGCTCATGGACAAGTACTGTACAAAACTACAAAGTGCAATAACCAACTACAATGGAAAATTTTAGAGAAGTCACAAGATTAGAAAACATGGTTAAAAAGTGAGCAAGCAAACCCAAATAAAGATTCAACTTATATATCAAGACTGCTAGGTATATGAAATAAACAAGGAATCTTCTTAAAGATTAATATCTGAAATAAGCAGGCAATGGTAGCCAAAACTCACATGGAAGCCAATTATTATTTTTTGAGACAAATATAACTGGATTGCACATATAGGAACACAAGGATGCTACAAATGGATAAATGAAACAAACATAGAAGAAAGTGGCAACACAGTATTTTTTCAGAAAACAAACAGTGACTGCCTTCCTTATTACTTACAATAAGAATTCTGTCAGCTTGGATGTAATCATAGGTACCATCCACGAGAAATCATCATAGCAAATTATATATAGAAGATGACAACTGTGATTGTAAATAGAAAACAGCAATAAATCTTATAGTAACATTGGGAAAGTTAAGCATGCATTTACATCAATCAGGTTGAACAAAAAGGGTAAACCATCAGTTGGGTTCTTTGGTGATATGTCTGGATTTGCTCAGAAACCATATTCAGTCTCGGTATAATCAGAAGAGGTACACTTAAAAGCTACCCCCTTCAGATACCGTCCTAATAATAGTCATCATGGCAAATATACAGAACAAGCATGATCCAAGAAAGGACACAGAAGAAGACAACCGTCCTAGGAAATCGAATATGGCAATCCTGATGCCATAATAGTGTTATCACTGGGAAAGTGAAGAATGCAGCTACATCAATCAGGTTGATCAAAGAGGGGCAAATCATTGGCTGGGTAACTGAGTTCTAAAGTGGTATGGCTGGATTTGCTCAGAAACCATATTCAGTTTGGGTATAATCAGAAGGGTGCACTTAGCCATCCCCTTAAGATACCGTCCTAATAGGAAACATCACGGCAAAACGAGAACAAGCATGACCTAAAAGAGAGCATAAAATAAGAACAAAATTTGGCACACATTTATATGAATCAGGTTGAACAAAAAGGGTAAACCATCAGTTGGGTTCTTTGGTGATGTCTGGATTTGCTCAGAAACCATATTCAGTCTTGGAATAATCAGAAGAGGTACACTTAAAAGCCACCCCCTTCAGATACCGTCCTAATAGTAGTCATCATGGCAAATATACAGAACAAACATGATCCAAGAAAGAACAAAGAAGAAAACTGTCCTAGGAAATTGAATAGGGCAATCCTAATGCCATAATAGTGTCGGCATTGGGAAAGTGAAGAATGTAGCTACATCAATCAGGTTGATCAAAGAGGGCAAATCATTGGCTGGGTAACTGAGTTCTACAGTGGCATGGCTGGATTTGCTCAGAAACCATATTCAGTTTTGGTATAATCAGAAGGGGTGCACTTAAAAGTCATCCCCTTAAGATACCGTCCTAATAGGAGTCATCATGGCAAAAAGAGAACAGGCATGACCCGAAAGAGAGCACAAAAGAAGACAAAACTGTGATAAGAAATAGATAAGACAATGACAACTCAATAAACCATGCTGTCACTGGGAAAGCAATGAATGTAATTACATCAATCAGGTTGATCAAAACAGGGTAAATCATTGGTTGGGTCCTTCGACAGTATGGTTGGATTTGCTCAGAAACCATATTCAGTTTTGGTATAATCGGATGGGATGCAATGAAAAATCACCCCCTTCAGATACCGTCCTAATAGGAGTGATCATAGCAATCATCCATAGATAAGCATTACATGTACAATAAATCCGGTGTGGAAAAACATGTACAATAAATCAAAATATTACTAAAAAGCTACAATATCTTTTAAGAGAAGGAATGATCAGACCGGCAAAATAACTTTGCTAAGAAGTCATTCAATTTTATTAGATATAAAGTAAGACAATCCTTGCACTTGCACTAGTTATCAAGGCAAACAATTGCTGTGAAAAATAGCTCATGTTCACACATTCACAAAAACTAAAAAGATGTAATCAGTTGCAAAACATTTAACCCAAGGAGCACAAAACAAAAGGCAAGGAAAAGCTTTCACAGCACTGCATTGCTGGAATGTTTAAGTTTGCTCAGATGTTCAGTCTCAATTTTGGATGTAATCATGCAAGGACCAGCCATTCGAGAGCCACCTTGTTCAGATACCGTCCTTGTACAAGTCATCACCACCAGCTAGGGATTGCATAAAACTGACACCTAAATAATAAAATCTGAAAGCTTGTATGGTAGGGACTAGAAGGTGCCAAAAGAAACATATGGTTGACATAAAAGAAAGTATAGGATAGCATTTTGATGTAGAGCTCAACTAGGACAATCAGACAATGCTTGCTGATGAATAGAGGACAGCACCTGTTTGCTCAGAATCTCATTCAGATTGGTTGTAATCAAAGAAGGGGCACCATTTTAAGAGCCACCGTACTCAGATACCGTCCTTGTAGATGTCATCACGGCAAACAAGTGAACGGGAAAGCATAAAACTCCACGACAGCATTTTTGACCAAACATCAGGGGAACAGGATAAACTACTAGGATTGATTAAAGATACTTGCTCAGACAATTTGTCTCAGATCAGGTATAATCATGCGAGGATAATAGTTGCCTCGCTCAGATACCGTCCTTTGCAAGTCATCACAGCGATTTCCAGCGCAAAAACAAACGCACAGTAAATCTCCACTTAACTACCTCCTAAAATCAAGGGTTTCCAGTGCAGTACGGCCACTACTCCATACCCAAAATCAGTTCATAAACGAATACGCCTACCGTGACCAGACAATCGCGGCAATGAACCAAAGAGAATTACACCATCCACCGACAAGGATACGACACAGTACCATAAAACAGGAATGAGGAATCACCCGCTGCGCCCAATCTGAAGCGAAGCAGAGAAGCAGGGGCGGGCGGTGGATGAGACAGGTTTGGGCGGGGCCGCGGCAAGAGCAAAGTTCGATCTGGATTCCGGTTGACGCGGGGCCGCAGGTGGGGGGCGGAGCCGCCGCCGCCGCTCGGGAAGGATTAGGGTTCCGGCCGTGGGCGCAACAGAGAGCCGGGCCAGATGCGGAGGCGGAGTGCTTGCTGCGAGGGCCGCTCTTCTTTATGCTTGCTGAGGAGGATGGTGATTATTCACTAATCGCCTTTCAAAAGTTACATTATTCTAATCCGGTCCAATTATTGTTCTTCCCCTGCCTTGCAGTGCAAAGGTTATCGAATTAGGGGTACCCAAACGCAAAGTCGTCAACATATTTATCGCGCCCATCCCGCGGGAATACTGAACTGCAAAAAGTCCAAGGGGGGCAAACAGAAAAGTGAGCCCCAAACCCTAGACCCCAATGGAAGCGTGGCCGCCTCTCGCCCCCGCGGCGGCAGCCGCCGCCACCCCGACCGCCGCCGCCTCAGACGATGCGGCGGCTGCTCCGGCCGGTGCCGGGGCGTGGGAGCAGCGGCGACGGCGCAGCGGAAGGCCGTGGAGAAGGAGTCGGCGGCGCAGGCGGTGAGCCGCATCGTGGCGAGCTGCGCCAACTCCAGCGGCGTGGCGGTCGCCGTGGTGGACGCCAACGCCGTCATCTCCGGCGGCTCCGCTCTCTCCACCTCCGCGGGGCGCGCTTGTAACCGTGCCGGAGGTGCTCGAGGAGGTCCGGGACGCGGCCGCGCGGCGGCGGCTCGGGCTCCTCCCGTCCCCGTCGAGACCGTTGAGCCTGCGCCGGAGTTCGTTAAGAAAGGTCGCTGCTCTAGTCGCTCGAATGCATCATGAATCTGAGTTAAATCTCTCTCGCACTAGTGCTCGGGGCGAGTTCTGATGATATCATTGTTGATTGAATTAATGCTAAGACTTCTTGATTGAATTACTAATTTATCGTCCTACATTAATTGCCACTGATATCATTGTTGTTTGCTTTCTTAGTTACTGTGATGATCATAGTAAGAAAGTGTCAACAAGAGATGACATTTAAACATTAGTCTTTTGCGACAAATATTCTTGGTCTGGGCACTATATATGTGAGACTTATTTTTGTATCCTTATTGCTTGCAGTTACCAAGTTTGCCAGGGAGACAGGAGACATCCAGACGCTTTCAGATGTTGATATCAAGATTATTGCTTTGGCTTACATGTTAGAAGCTGAGATCCATGGGACTAGCCATTTGCGGGAGCACCCTCCTCCTTTGCGTGAGGTGAATGTCAGAAAGCTGTCAGAAGCTCCACTGCCTGGTTGGGGCTCTAATGTACCTAACCTGAAAGAGTGGGAAGAGTTGGATCAGATGTCTGAAGCTGGTGGAGATATCAATTCTCGAATACTTCCTCTGAAGGATATTGAGAATCAAGATATCCCGATGAGCAAGTCCAACAGTGTCTGTGAGGCACAAGAGGATACAGAGCACCGGCCTTCAGAGAAGGATGCACCTGTTGCATGGGAGGAAGATGAGAACAATGTAGGCTGGATGCCTGCTGTTAGCCGCAGCACCCACAGAAGATATTTGCGGAGGAAGGCAAGGCGTGATGCCCTCAAGGAATCTGGACAAAGTTTTGAGACAAGTTCTGTTGCTCCATCAATCGATGATGATAAAGTTCTCTCTGAAAATAGTGGATTGGAGCATGGTCTGACTTCATCAGATGGCCTTTCTTCTGTCCCTGAGAAAATCAGTGCAAGTTCTGATGGTTTTGATGAACATCAAGCAGAGAATGACACTGAAATTGCTGGAGAACATTTGCATTCTGACCAGCTAGCTTACGGTGATGATACTGACGCGTGCACCAAAGAATTGGATAACCTAGATATAAAAGGTGAGGATGAGGGAGGTGATGATGCACATTCCATAGATGATGAGAGCAGTGAGCAGAGTTGGACCCTGAGGTCCTTATCCGAATCAACTGTAGCATGTGTTACTAGTGATTACGCCATGCAAAATGTCATCCTGCAGATTGGCCTCCGTCTCATAGCACCAGGTGGCATGCAGATACGACAGATGCATAGGTATGTGAATTAACATCTTCAGACCTGTTTGGGTAGTGGGTACAATAGTGCTCTCCAAGCCAATGTTGTATTTTTGGCCCACTAACACATGTATTATTATGCTTCTGTGACAGGTGGGTTTTGAGGTGCCATGCTTGCTATAAGGTGACCCAAGAGGTTGGCAAAATATTTTGTCCGGAAGTGTGGCAATGGTGGGACCTTACGGAAGGTTTCAGTAACTGTTGGTGAAAATGGGATCACTATGGCTTCACGGCGCCCACGGGTTACACTTCGAGGCACAAAAGTGAGTGTATTTATGCTGCTTGTCTTTCTAACGGTCTAGACTCGTGTTCTGCAACTTCTCTGATCTTGTGTGGTTGTAGTGGAGGGTGGTTCATTACTTGATTGGTTATTTTCTGTATTGCTCTGCTCACACCCTTTTACATGTCTTCCTCGACCGTGTGGTCTATTTTCATGCTTGTAATGTTAATGACGTCAGGAGTACAGTAGTGAGGAACAGTTTCCGAGAAAAAATGGCTAAGAATATTTGGATATTTGGTCTGATATTGGCAGTCACATACCTGGCAATATGGTCTCTTCAGAGACTGTACATTTCTTGTAGTGTGGTGTCTTTAGTAAGGACATTCATGTTTGTTTTGAGATAGCTTTAATTCCTTCATTGCAATTATCTTTGTATTGGTCCACCTGAACTTTTATACAGAGTCGATTACTCGATTCCTGAGAATGCCAGAGATGTTGTTTGTAACTGTTTACCTGTTTGCTTGCAGTTTTCCTCCCAATGCCCCAAGGTGGAAGAGATGCCATAACTAAGAACCCCATTCTTCGTGAGGACCAACTTCCTCAGAAGGTTCTTCATCCTAAATCGAAGAAGTCCAGCAAGGTTAGTGCTCTAGCATTTCTTTTTGTGCATATTGAAAAGTGTTATCAGAATAAGGTAATGAGGATACATGCACAACAAACTGTGGACTACTAAATGAACACAACAAAAAAAGTTTATGTTATCCTGTGATATTATATTTCTATGTGGTCTATTGTCAAGTATGCATTCCCACGTTTGTTGCTGTTACAAGTTGTTCAGTACCTGTTACGACTTGTGATGAGGTTCGTTTAGGATCAAAATCTGACTGAGTTTCACTATAGGAGGATGATTTCTTGGGCGTCGACGACATATTTTCGCACAGTGGTGATAAGAAGGCACAACAGAAACCTCCAGTGAGGAAGGCACTCGCAATGTTCAGTGGGAAAAGAAATCCAAACGACAACCACTTTTCTCGCAAGAAGCACTAAGGCCTTGTTTAGATTGCAAATTTTTGCAATTCGGACACTGTAGCACATTTCGTTTGTATTTGACAAACTTTGTCCAATCATGGACTAACTAGGCTCAAAAGATTCGTCTCGTGATTTACAACCAAACTGTGCAATTAATTATTTTTTTTACCTACATTTAATGCTCCATACATGTGTCTAAAAATTAATGTGATGTAGAGAGAGTGAAAAAACTTGGAATTTTGATGGGATCTAAACAAGGCCTAAGCTCTCACCTGTCATCTTTTTTATGCACGCCTACGGTACCGCAGTATGTAATCTCAGCATGTAATGGTTGAAGCAGAGTAACTTATTTCTTGTTAGTGGCGGAGAGTCATCATATAAGCATGTAAGCTATGCAGTTTTGCAGCATCTATGTATGGTTTCCGTGCTACTGTTTCTCCAATGGATTTGAATTTTGAGTTTGAATATCCACATGGATTTGGTGTGTAATCGAGCAGCAACGAACTGTAGCGATTTCCATTGAGCGTGCACATCTGTGAAACGCCGACAAGAACTGAAGAGCATGAGGTGATTACACCGGAAAGTTCTCAGAGTCAGAAGCATTCATAGACTAATCCATAATTACACCTTCACAAACGGATTGGTACGCTTTTTTATTATTAATAATGTAGAAACAAGAATTATGTCCAACCTAGGGTGTGTTCTCTACATCACAATTAATAATTTTCTTACAAAATACAAAAGAAGAAGAAGCAACAAATCCAACAAGTATACCGCTGCATTTCATGCTTACACTCATGCACAACACCAACACTGATCACATTACACCTCCGACATCATCATCATCATAATCATCAGTTCAGAGCTCCTCAGAAGAGCAGATCATCGTTCGTGGAGCTGAATCCACCGTAGATGTCTCCCATGTTGAGCAGGTCAAAGTAGCCATTCCCTGCAAGGCCAGCGGTGGCGGCGGCGCTCTGGTGGTGATCCTGGTGCGTTGGCAGCGCGCCGGCGCCGTAGGTGCCTCTCATCTGGTCCCCGAAGGCGCCCCCGCCGTGCCCGTGCGACGGCGTCACGTTGCCGGAGCTCGCCGTGGAGGCGGGCCAGTGCGTGGACACCGAGTAGCTCTCCGGCGCCGCCGGCGCCCAGTCCGAGAACACGAAGCTCCGGGCCTGGTGATCGAACGGCTGCTGAGCGAGAGGCGCCGCCGCCGGGGCCGACAGCGCGTGGCTGCCGCTGATGTTGCCATCGTGGTCGTGCGACGTCGTGGTGCTGCTGCCGCCGCCGCCGCTGTTCTTGACGTGGTGGTGCGGGTGCTGGTGCATGGACATGGACATGGACATGGACGACAGCTCGGTGGTGCTCATGGAGGTGAGCTCGGGTGGGCTCTTGGGGCTGGAGTTGGACGACACGCCCTGGGCCTGCATCACCCTCTTCTTCAGGTACGAGTTCCAGTAGTTCTTCACCTCGTTGTCGGTCCTCCCTGGCAGATGCATCGCAATCTGAGACCACCTGATGTATGCACCAATTCATCAGCAACATGAAGTCATGAATATGGTGCGAGATGTTATACTTGCTCTTCTAACAGTTCAAGATTCTTTTTTCTTCTAGCAAGTCCGTTAACTAAAACGCATTTTTCTCAGTTTTTCAAAGGCCATGCCCTTCTTAGAAATTAACAGCATAAATTTGCATTACAAAATCATTGGGTTGTGAGAGAATTTTACTTGTTGCCCAGCTTGGCTTGGAGGTTGATGACGACGTCTTCCTCCTCCTGAGAGAACATTCCACGCTTCAACCCAGGCCGCAAGTAGTTGATCCAACGCAGGCGGCAGCTCTTGCCATTTCTCTGGAGACCTTTGAGAAAGCAAGTCCATTCAAAAGAAGAAGAAGAAAATAGTCAGACACAACAATGGTAGAATTTGGAGTTGAAAACATGGTGTGAAGCCAAATTCGGACCATCTAATTTGAGGGTCAGAGGCAAATCGAAAGCTAAGCTGTGCTGATTGCAGATGAGGCTAGCATTGAGCATCAGCAGCAGGCTTTTTCTGCATGCATGAGCTTGTCATGCTCATGCATGCAGCAATGTGCAATTGTCATGGAAGGAGAGGAGAGGAGAAAACAAAGAAGAGCAGCAGCTCACCAGCCTTTGCAGGGACAGCACTCCAGCAGCCGAGGCCATGCTTGAGGATGTAGTCCCTGAGCCTCTGGTCCTCCTCAGGAGACCACAGCCCCTTCCGGTAGTTCATCTTGGGCTTCTCGCAGGACCGGCACCCCATTGTCGCTGCCGTCTTGTGTTTCTTCTTCTTCTTCTTCTTCAGGCCTGTGCCTCCTCTTCCTCTGAAGATGAGCTGTTGCAGTAGTAGCAGTCCCTCGGCACCATGTGCCCCTTCTGATTTAAAGGGCTGTCACATTTTGCTTCTTGGTTTAGTTTAATTGAGGGGAATTGAGTAGGTGGCTGCGTGCACATGCTTGAGATTATGAGGGGGGAGCTTGGTCAGAGGATGTCACCTCTATCTCGCCATTACTTACACAAGGAAGATTCTCAGAGAGTTTCTGAGTAAACTTCGGTTTCCTTCTAATGATGATATGAATGCTTGCTGGCACTAGGATCGTATACTGTTTTAATTTCATTTTAAGCAGCCACAATGCCGCTATAATTGGTGGTGACATATATAATGGTTACTCCTATTGAAGTAATCTGAATTAAACTATTGTACACAAGTTCTAAAGAATGTAACTACAAGATTTAACGATGTTGTCTCAGATGAGTGATTGATCAGGTAATAGCATAATGCTCACTCCAGTTGTTTTTTTTTACTGAAGAACATTGTTATCCAATAATCAGGGCTATGAAGGTCAGACCGTCTCGGCCAATGATGGGCGAGGGCATTGACATGAGCTGTTCTTGCAATGAACGGACGGACACTAGGATTGGCAATGACAGGGCCTGACTGACTAATCCATCCCTCTTCTGACGACAATCATTGGGAATGGGAGGAGGCATCTGAGCTAGAGAAGGCCAAGGATGAACCGGAGAGACATGCATGGGAACAAGAAACGACAGCCTAGCTGTGATCCAGAAGGATTTGCGTTAGTTATTGCAAGGATCAAGACGGTGAAATGAAATGCACCTTTGGTATATGCATAAACAATGACCTCTGACACCATCAGATCAATTGGCAGAATGACTTGTTAGAGCTCCTAATCAGGTCGTTCCTTGTAGCTTCATATAGTAAACATCATAACCCATTGTTCTTTTCCTGATCCTCTTAGCGGGACATCAAGAACTCTGTTACTACTGATAATACGATGCTCAGTTGCAGGATAACTAATGGTTCAAGTCTGACAGCTAAGGCATTATTAGACCATAATGAATTCCTGGTGACTGTGTCCTTTCCTGGCGGTAGTTGTTTTTAGAATCTTAGTTCAGGTACTACTTTTCTCTTCCCTTGTTCTTGCGTTCCTCACTTAGGAAAAAGAAAAGACCTCTACAACGACAGATGAACCAAAGCCAAATCTGCGTCATGATGATGAAGTCTGATGGATCCCATTTACTGTAGATGTCGCCTTGTTATTTTCTTTGAAAGAAGTAAATCTCACCTTATTACACTGCTAACTTTCATAATCTAGAAGTTCATGGGGGGAATTTGTCTAGAGTTCAGCTAGATTTTGATGTGGTAGTTATATGCTGTGTGGGATTTACAAGAATCAATATTTACAAATGAAGGTTTCCCATAGGCTGTTCTGTTGCAGAATGCCAGAAATTGTGAAACATCTTCTGAAGGTTAAATAAGAACAGATAACTCCAACTGGAAGCTTTCCTACTGCTACTGCTCATTCAATAAAAAAAAGAAATATAGTGAAGCAGATCACTGGCGCCAGTAAACAAGTACTGACACAGTGCGCTTAACAAGTGTATCTATCTACCAAACAATTGCAACTTCTCTGAAAGACTGAAAACAAAATGAAGGTAACAACATGCACTCGAGCTCGCTCGCGAGGCACGAGAACCAAAAACAAAGAGGCATGACCTAATGCTTAGCTATAGTTTACCCCATATACAGGAGAGTGGCATATATTAGCAGAATTCGTTATCCCCTTAGAAAGACAGAAACTAGAGGTAGCTAATGATATGAAATGAAGGAGGGGGTCCTATCATGCTTGATATCCATGTCCTATTTTAATTCCATGTGATCTGAATGGGGGCGTCTTAATCCCCTCTTTCTTCTTCTCTGCCTGCCTCAGCTTCAAACACGGCGATTCGCTTACGAGAAAAATCAATTGCAAAACAACTAGTATTTCTCAGCATTAGCCGACAGCTATAAACTACTAAGAGCTATGCAAAACTATACCTGCTGGCAAATTGACTTGGCGCAGCTGCATGTGGACAAGCACCTAATCGCCATACGAATTCGCATTTTGCACTAAAAAACTAGGAACCACTGGTTAAACTATCTGCATTGCTCTGAATGGAGGAGGCGATGGAAAGGAATCTTTTGTCTAAAACTCTGAATGAGAGCCCCCCTCAAGTCTGAACTGAAATCTCCACACCCCCAGTTTAACAACTGCACCGGCAGCAAGACTTTTTGTCCTTGTCATATCCATGACCCGTCCATCTTAGAACGTAATGTAAATATGCGAAAGGATGTGATTAGAATCCTCGCCGCCGATTAAAAGAACGCGGAAACGATGGCGATATGCGAAATATGCTGCTGACTAAACAATGTGGCTGGGAACATGCACTGGGCTCATCTGTACTTGCAATGATGGGGATGCAAGTCAATGCTTGCTTGCTTGAGAATTAGAATCCACATAGAAGCCGGAGCAGGCGAGATTGGGGGTTTTGATAAGCAGGGCCAGCTCATATGAGGACATACGCGCTGAATAATCAAGGATGCCCTCATTGCAAATTGTCAGTATGTCTTTGCAGGATTAAGTATAGGGAATGCTGAGAAAAGTATGTCATCTTGCTAAGCATGTACACTTAAATAATATAAATCAGGCCGTGTTGTGGCTTT